TCCTACGGAGTTGTATTTGTATTTTTCATATTTGTTAATTTTTCTTTAGCTGTGTTTGACAGTTTCCCAACTTCAATTCATTTTTCTCCCCAAAGGAATGAACGCCAAGGAATTCAGATACAAATGGGGCGGGGAGGACTGGGATCTACTTGACCGAGTATTGAACGCCAAGTTGGAAGTGGAACGGATCAAGTACCCAGGCCTCTATCATCATTATCACAACAAAGAAAAGATTTGGAGTTAACGTACTGTGCAACCGCGCCTGGATCGTTTGGAAGCTTCTGTGGACTACGCACCTCTCATACCATCTTTCTTTTGTCACTTATTCCACGGAACAATAAATTTGGGTGTCCAATCACTTAAATGATTTCAATGAGCATCAAATTTGAGTGATGTGGAGCTGTTGTGAGGTATGAAGACGTATTTGCTGGCGAACAGGGTCTTGGAGAGAAAATTAATGAGCAATGAACAACAAACATACCAATTGGAAATATAAGTTAATGGAAATCCAAGAACGATTTTGAATTACTGTAAATTGTGCGCGTACAAAATATTTCACACTATGTCTTGAAAACTTGCGAGGGCCGGAAGAAAAAGAAATTACAGACCTATTTGTGGTGTTTGCCTACCTGGAGTGTCTCAAGGTAATTAACTCGATTTGGCGTTCCGGAGAAACAGAACCGCACCTTGTGATAGATCCCCGAGGGACGAACTTCAGGCTGAGCGAGGTGTATACAATAAAGCAGAGGGCAAATGCACTACAGTTCGTTAAAGNCGTACTGTGCAACCGCGCCTGGATCGTTTGGAAGCTTCTGTGGACTACGTACCTCTCATACCATCTCCCCGTTGTCACTTATTCCGCGGAACAATAAATTTGGGTGTCCAATCACTTAAATGATTTCAACGAGCATCAAATTTGACTGATGTGGAGCTGTTGTGAGGTATGAAGACGTGTTTGCTGGCGAACATGGTCTTGGGGAGAAAATTAATGAGCAATGAACAACAAACATACCAATTGGAAATATAAGTTAATGGAAATCCAAAAACGATTTTGAATTACTGTAAATTGTGCGCGTATAAAATATTTATCACTATGTCATGAAAACTTGCCAGGACCGGAAGAAAAAGAAATCACGGACCTATTTGTGGTGTTTGCCTACCTGGAGTGTCTCAAGGTAATCAACTCGACTTGCCGTTGCGGAGAAACAGAACCGCACCTTGTGATAGATCTCCGAGACAAGAGATAGTCCGGGGGACGAACTTCAGGCTGAGCGAGGTGTATACAATAAAGCAGAGGGCAAATGCACTACAGTTCGTTAAA